TTATTTTCATGCCAACTGTGGAATGAATTGGCAACATTTTTTTCGTGCCATTTTTCCCCCCGTGTAATATTTGTAATACGCCGAGATCAGAATGAGTGCAAAACTTTTACGCGTAATTCTAAGCAACATTGACAATTGTTTTTTAATTGTGTATGAAGCACATTATCTGTGAATATCAACATGCGCAGTTTTTACAAGATCTAATGAACGTTCATAATAGTAACACGTGTGCATATTTACACAGCATCATATCAAAAGATTGCAACCATAATCGTGAAGGTATTACTTTATTGAAAGGTGATCTCTGAAATTAACGTTGAGGAAAAGTAAGCTCGAATAGCTAATGGCCGATGGTCAGAAATAGCGACTGAGTGTAATCCAAGGAATGTTAGAAGCTAAACAATTTAACAATTTTTTATTTAGTTTTTCCAGGTAAGGCTCATTGAGCTATATTGCTCTTTTTCAAAAGCTACCTGGCCAAATACTCTAAATACCCCCCCCCCCGTATTTAGTCTGCGAGAACGAAAAACATTCAATATGGAAGAGAGACGTCCACCGAGGGAGATGGAGTGATGAAATCAGCTCGTTTGCAGGTGGATTATTATTTTGCAAGATTACATAGTGAGAGATGACGATGGCTTGGGGAGGCCTTCGTCCAGCAGGGGATTGGTCATGGCTGATCATGAGGATTACAATTTAAACATGCCTGCCACTCTTCTGTGGCTAAATCTGATGGTTATTACTGGTAGGAACCACCTGGTTCCACCAGCCCGCAGGGGATTATTGTGTCCGTCCGTCCGTCGTGCATCCAAAAATGGGAGGGGTGGGGCTGGGAGGAGATGGGAGGATGGGGAGGGTCTGGGTGGGGAGGGTGGGGCTGGGTGGGGGGTGGGAGGGGTGGGGCTGGGTGGGGTGGGGCTGGTCACCTCGTGGTGCCCTTATAAAACTCAACGTTTAACCTACTCACGCCGGCTTGTGCCCGCCCTCACAGTCGGCCATATTTGCGGAATACACCACGCCGCCGTTGACCCTGGCCATTGACCGAGGAACTCAACATTCCTACCAGCTCCCTCCGCAGGAATGTGTTACGACACTGAATGAGCAAGCTTTCAACGAAAGGTATGGGGGGAATTGATTAATTATTTCACTTAGGAGCAGGTCAATCTCTCATGACATGCAGTTACTAATTAGCAGGAGCTGCCTGTAGCGTTTAATACGTTTAAATCGGTACAATGTTATCTGCTCCTATGAGGCCGTGAAATATGTTGAGACATTATGAAAGAAATACACATTTGCGCGCGTTACATTTTTTTACTTTGCTTAATATGCACATAGCCAGCCATTCTATATTATAAGGGTTGTCCTGACAACCGGCACAACCATATCTTTATGCCTTTGGAATTGTATTTCTTAGCATGGACGTAGAGCAATGGCTTCTTCACTCTGACATTGAGAGGAAAGATTTGTTCCTTGTTTATTGCCGTTGCTGTGCCAAAACGTCGCGGCTGAAGAATTTAGCTAAATGTAGCGAGGGGGCAAGCTTTGGGGGTGGGTGCACAGCATTCAGAATCCCATGCGTGTGGGCATAGTTCAGGGGCTCCCAGCGACCTCCCACTGCTGGGCTCGCAGCGGCACAGCCAGAAAGCAACACAGCACACGTTACGGGTGTTGATAGTCATCTAGTTTCAGGCAATTCTATAACAACAACAAAACTCATATTCTTGGTTCTTTCGGTAAAGTCACGTAGAAGGAAAATAATAAAATGATAAAAATAAAACATGATAAAATAATTCTCACGACGTTTCGGCCATAACACAGCGTCTGAATGATCATTCAGACGCTGATCATTCAGACGCTGTCTTTCAGACAGACCTGTTCTTCACCTGAGGACGGCTGCTTGCGTTGTGGCCGAAACGTCGTGAGAATTATTTTATTATATGTAATTATTTTATTATTTTATTATTTCCCTTCTACGTGACTTTACCGAAAGAACCAAGAAGATGAATCCCTGCAGTCACGAAAGCTTTAAATCGAAAAACAACAAAACTTTCCTATTTGTTTTATTTGATTTTACCAGGTAAGGTCCACTGAGCTAAACTGTATAGCTCTTTTTCAGAAGTGACCTGGCCACAAATGATAGCTCAACGAAGTGGCTTATCATCATGTGGAAATTTATAGCGGCCAAATACGTTTAAACGCACACGTTGATTCTAAATGTGGAGGGAAAAACCGATGGACCCGGACAAAAATGCACACTACTCGTGATGTGTTTTTGTGGAGCATTATGGATAATAAAACAAATAAATAGACTTACATTTGTCTCTTCGCGTATACATGAAATCGATTTAATTCACTGGTCTGCGGCCTTCAAGACGTACATTGTATTATCTAGCAGCATGTATTTAAGCAAATATTGGCCTGGTTCTCACTGACTAGATTCCATCAGCAGAGTCAGCCTTGTTAAACAAATACTGCTGGGTTCTCAAATGTTATTGGCCAGGTTTATATATATTCACAGTGGGGCACTGTTCAGGGAAAAGAAAAATATTGAAATACTATACAGTATATATTAAATCATTCTACACTGTATTGGTGAATTATGGGGAATTAAACATCATGGAGATAATCCACATCGTGGTTTTTTTGCTTTTATTATTGTTATTTTTTTTATTTTATCTTATTATTTTTATTATTATATTTTTTTGTTTTCTATTTGCGTGACTTTACCGAAAGAACCAAGAATATAAGACAATCCACTGTGATGAAATGTTGCAAATGGGAACATATATTTGTATTTTTAAACAATATGTGTCAAATATTCGTAAACTGGCTCCACAGACCACTCTCCATCCCCGCGTTACCGTTGTGCGTGCTGCCCGGATCCCTGGATGAAAAGCGCTACAATCATAACAAGCTGCACCTGTGCACGGCTCGCATGTTCTGTCAAACCTTGACAAGAGAGAATTCATCAATGCCCGCATGCAACAACGGAAGCCACGGGCTCTTCAATTAGCGACGAGTGCCACACCAACCTGCTTTGTGCACAGGTGTGGATACCAATCATCGCGAAGTGCACAGCGCAACCCGATGGTGTTGCTTTCTGTTATAGGCAAAGGTCTCCCCCGACTGTTGGGGCCAGTGCTGTTAGCGAGCACTCCATGGGGGCCGGCATGGCACGCGAGAGGGCGGTGGGTGACCAGCGTCACGCCCGGCCGCATTTGTCTCCCGAGCGGCGAAATGTACACACCGCACCAGGTACCCATTTGAGGCTGAGTCGACCCAAGGCAGGCACCCAGTGAAAGTGACCTGCAAATATTGCCTGAGTCGCTCACATCACCCTCAATGGCTATTCATTCCTGCAACAGTCGATTTGTGCGCCTGCCAAAGCGCCAGCTCGACTGACTGCAACGAGCCCAGGTGTCAGGGCGCTGTCATCACCGGCACTCAACCATGGGAGCGCATCACACCTGCGCCTCGCATTCACTCACCTCTGCCTGACTCCGCCGCTACCCACAGCGCAACGCCTGCTTAGCAGGCTCTGGTCACTCTGGGCCACCGGGCAGCAGAGGCCACATTCACAAGAAGCAACATTTGGTGTTCTTAAATTTCGAAACGTCGTGAGAATTATTTTATTATGTTTTCTTTTTTTTCTTTTGTTATTTCCATTCTACGTGACTTTACCGAAAGAACCAAGAAGATTTGGTGTTCTTGTAGAAGTTCTCACAGCATACCACGCTCTATATATGAAGACCGCCCTCAAGTTGTGTCCATTTCAGAGGCCGCGTTGGTTTGGCCGTGGCGAGGGATGCAATTTGATTTCCGTTGTTGTTGTTGTTGGCATCATGGTCATGGAAGGCAAGGGGCTGTGGCGTTAGTCCGTCCTTCTCCTCATGCCAGAAATCAAGTCACTGAAGTAGTTTTTTTTCTCACTTCAAAGAAAAACTCACCGACAGAGTTGATCCGCATGTCCCCATGCCGTGCTCAATTATAACGCCACACTCAGGGTTTCTCCCACAGACAACATTTAATGAACCGTACTATGAAATGAGTGGAATTTTGAAACCCACAGTAATTGGGAGAACATCATTATCCATTCCCGAGCATATTGTTGGCCAATCCTAGCCCAGCCGTGCAGACCACCGCGGCGTCACCGTCAGAATGTTCCTAATTCTGTTAGAAAAGCCCCTCAAAAGAAGAAACCTCCACAGCCATGATGCGTGTGGCTTCTCCGATTGGTTCGATCATCTCCAGGATAGAAGCCCGAACAGTAGAATCTGGAAGAAAAAAAAGATGTTATCACAGGAGTTGGATTGTTGGTGCAATTAGACTTGTGGTTTGAATAATGACATTTGCTCCTTTCTGGACGTGAGGCTCAAATTTGCCACAGCTTCTAACGTTACATGAAATGCAGCGCTTGTGCACACATCACAACCGCCTAGCAAACTGAACCCGACTCCAAAATGAACCTTTCCTCATTATGATAGCGGCACGAAGCTGTGCATAGAAACAAACCCAGACGGCGGTCGGCAGTAACGCCCAGAGTGCTATTACATGGTAATTGCTGTAATTACGTGTGACTACTGTAATTACCCAACAATTACCAGGACAAAGCTCGTTACTTAGCAATTACATCGCTGTTACTATGTAATTATCTCGTGAAATATATATTCATACAAGCATTACTTTTAACCAAAATGGAAAAATCCAATCCGTCCCTGCAGCCCCCCCTCCCTGCCCGCCCCCCAAAGCTCTTGGCCAGCCGTACCCCCATTTAAAAAGCACCCCGGAGCTCCCCGATGCAGTTTTGCGCACTCGCTAGCCAGGTGACATCCGTGCAAATCTGCAGTGGCATTGGAGGGCGGACGCTGTTGAATTGGACCAACGTTTATTTTCTCTCGTGCACCCGAACAACTGGGCATCAAGGCTCTTCGTGCACCATGGAAGTTGGGAATGGGCAATTTTCACCGCGGCGACCGATTGAAGGCGCATGGGATCTGGCCATGACCTCCGCCAGGCCCAAGAGACCCAGGGAAGTGCGAGACATGTGGAGGGCGTTCAGCCAGGAGGCCGCTGCGGGAGACGGCGTGGCCACCGCGCATCACATCGCCACCGACCACGTGGTGTTCGGTCGCACGCGTGGAAATCAGGAGGGCAAAGGTGTGGAGGTGTCCATGTCAAGCTATTCTGCAGAGCTTTCCCATGCTGCAAGGACTGGTGGTAGGTGTACTGTGTTCACCTGCGTTGTATGGAGTGGGGTGTGTGGTTGGGTTGTGTTTTAACACTTCTAGTGCTGTAGTGCTACTTGGTGCTGTGATTTCCATGTTGCAAATGCTGGTGTGGAGACTGTGGTGCTGGGATATGCGGGTTTATTTTTTCGTGTATTTTCTCTGCCGGCCGTTCGCTGGCATTGATTGTCACGTTCTTGCAGGGTCGTACCCAATCACTGGTGTCGTTTCCTCAAACATAATCTGACCATCTATATCATCCAGCCCATGACTTATTTGGGTGCTATTTACTGCAACTAGCGTTCGTCAGAAATATCATTTTCATCACACCTCTCACAATGGCTGAAATAAGCCCCACCTATATAAACCTACGTTAACTTAAAATCAAAAGATGACACATAGGTGAAAATGACATGAGAGCTTAAGCAACACATGGGAACTGTTCCAGGCTGTATAAAAGTAGGAAAATAAAGGGTTTGCTAAACTTACACAATTACACTCAATGGTAATCACCCGTGCCGTTTTTAGGACGTATAATGAAATCATGGACACGTAATGCCCACACGTTTGGCAGCGAAGAACATTGCCACATCTCCGCAATCTGAAATAGGCGCGCGCAAGAAAAAAAAGGACCGCTCAAGCAATCGGCGCGTTCATGAGACAGGGTCAGAGTATGCAGGGGCTTCTGCTGAGCGTGCCGGGAGCCTGCGCGGTTACTGCCGATGCCACATTGAGCTTCGATCATTCGTGCCCACGGGATGGGTTGACGGCCCCCTTTTTGGTTCCAATATTTGGCCCACTCGCTTTAAAAGAAGTAAATAATAATAATTAACACGAGAGAGAAAAAAACCCCGATCCCAGCACTAGTCTGTGTAAGCGATGAGAAACGCGTCAGGGAGAAAGGGCGAGCACGCTGGAAACTAATACGGGTTAAACGTACTCGCTAATGAAGCAGATTTATTCATGTGGGCAGGTAAAAGGCGAGATTTTTTTGTTCACCTCTATTTAGCCAGGTAAAAATAATAAAACGTGGAGGTTAAAAACCTCTTTCGCGAGGGGGGACCAGGCATGCGAGGCACGAAGGGAAGGCCGCAAGGCGCGCGGGGTCACGATCGTGCCTTTCGCCGTCTACGAATCACCTTTTGCGTGTACCATTAGCAGGGCTTCGTTTGTTGTTGTTGAAGGTATTTCTTTATTCTCATGTCCGATGTGTGGTACATTCCAACAACAACAATAAACACACAGTCTGGCGCGACAGGTCGTCCGCGTCCTAATTTACAGGGCTCGTTCTGGAGATGTCACAGGGTTGGCTGAACTTTTTCTTAAACGAACACGCGAGGAGTGGGACCAGACGAGGCGGTGAGGGTGGGGGAAGCGCTCATATAATTGGGGTGGGGGGGGGCAGGTCGGGGGGGGGCTAAGATACGGGAGGCCTAGGAGCCGCGCATGTTGACTGGGAGGAGACCTCACTCTGTTCACTCGGCGTCTGTCCTGGTGACACTGGGCCTGACGGTCTCAGATGTGAGGAGGGTTAACATGGGTTGTTCCCGAATGGATGCCACGTGCTTTTAAAGTCTGCCTCCTCTCCTTTCAGCACGCATCCCAGGTGGTCCAGAGAGGCTCACCGAACTGTTTTTCAGCGCTCAGCCCCCAACAACTCCAGGTGAAATTGAGCCTTGACTATTAAGTCCACTCACGTTGAGTAATGCGTTCCTCATCGTTAGATCACAGCCAATTAGAAAGGGTTGTTACGCAAACAAATACGTGGCAATTAGTTACTACTTCACATTCATATTTACGCGATCTAACCCATAAAATGTTTTTTATGATGGACAACATAATAATATATAGGGTGCCACGCTGGCGAGATGTTAACTACCTCGCCTGGTATACAGGAGGTCGTGGGTTCGATCACAACCCTGACGCCTGTTCATTTGGAGTTTGCACGTTCTCCCCGTGGTCACGTGGATATTTCCCTCCAAATTTAGAATCAAAGAATCAACACATCACGCGTTTGTAGTATTTGACTGCTCTAAATTTCCACGTGATGATGATGAGCCACTTCGTTGAGCTTGCGGTCAGATCGCTTCTGACAAAAGAGCAATATAGCTCAGTGGCCCTTCCCTGGAAAGAATGATAATAAAAATAACACTGGTCAACACACTTTTCTGGCATAAGGTATTCCAAGGGTTTTAAGGTAATTTTGGGGTGCTGATTCCAAATCTGGCATCAGTTTTTGTCTATCACATCAGCTTTTTGAGATATCAAATATTGCATTTTTAATAAAAACTGCAGAAGAAAAATAGTAAATAAATGTGGATATCTACATAAAATGATATTATAAACACACTATCTTAAAAATACAGCACCATATTTTTACACTAAAGCAGTCACTGACTCGCAACAACTTGCAATCATAAGTGACAGAGTTCATTTCTGGCAAAATCAATGAAAATGGGGTATGCTGATAGCATAAAAATGATGTGATAGAGCAAATCTGAGATCAGATTTGGAATCAGCACCCTGAAACTAGTCTAAAACAGCTGCAAAAGTCCAGGCCAGAAAAAAATGTTTTTTTTTTTGACCAGTGTAATAAAACATTACTGGTCGCGAAAGCCTACGCGTTGAACGTGTTCCGCCCGTCCGACAGACGTCGTGGAGCGTCCTGGCTCGCTGCTGCACGCGGAGGTGCTGCGGAGGGAGCTGGAGGTGGCGAGGCACCGCATCGCCGTGCTGGAGAGAAGCAACAAGCACCTGCAGGCAGACAAGGAGTTCCTACAGAGCGTGCTCAGCAAAGGAGGCGAGCCGCTCACGTCTCGGTGGAAATCCACAAAAAGCCGGTCGCTCCGCTCCTTGGACGTTGCCCACTATTTGTCGCAGTAATGTACGTGTGGACACGCGGAGAGAGAGCGAGAGAGAGCCCTTGGTCAATCCACTGCTGGATGAGGGCCATCCCCACGTCGTGGAGGTCGTGGGGGATTTGACCATACTTCACCCCACTGGCCAGTGCCGATTGGTGAAGGCAGGGAGCATAGAGTAGTACAATACAATTTAGCTTTTTTCCTGCAGCGTCATGTTCTGCTCGTAATTTAGCCTATAAGACACCAGCCGTGCGTGGCACTCACCCATGCAATCTATACAGGCGCAATCTTCCATGATCTCACAAGATCGGGTGCATACATTGCAGGTCATTGGGTCATAGATCTTACATTCATAGGTATCATGGTTTAACATGTGTGTATTTATGCTTTGTCCTCATGCTCTCCTCTTGTTATAAATATTCATGTTTTACGTTGGGGTATGGTCGGTAGTGAAAGACAACGTTAATGTGTCATGCACCCTTCTTTTGAGCAGTATTCACTGACACAAACGGGCCTCCCGTAAAGAGTGTCACAGGCACAGTATATCCATCTTGACGCAGCTGTCCAGTTAAAAGTAACAACTTTCGAACTTTAATCGAAAGGAACAGGTAAACGCTACTGAACCCAAATATGCAAATTCAGATAATTTGTTTAATTCAAAACAAACTGCAGGTTTGTGAGAAGTGTTTCCCCACCCCCACCATCCCCCCCAAATAAAAACAAAAATAAGCACGCATATAAACACTGTTGGCAAATTTGCGTAGTGCGCACAGAGGGACAGTGAATCGGCGCGCGCACAGCTCACAGAAGTGCCCCCATTGACCACGCGGCGCGTCGCGTTGGCACGCGGGACGCTTCGAAAATTGAAAAAGTGTGCACGTGACTGCCTCGGCTCACGGCTGGGCACGCTCCCAACGAAAACAGCAGCACGCGAAGTGAGGGCTCACCTCTCCCCCGCTCTGTCACCCAAGATGGCCAACAACACGTGCCATTGTGTACGCCGCAACACAAGACGATTATCTCGTAACCCAGTCCCGGCCCTTCTTTTTTTTCTTTTTGGGACTGGTTCGCCAAAGGGCACGTAGGCTCGCAAACTCGCGGGCATTTTAGTTTCCCCGTGGCTCAGGAGCTTTCCGTCAAGAAGCGTATTGCGCACTTTTCAAACAACCGCAGGAATTTAGTCGGGCGGCCGTTGCGTGCGGCTGGCCTGCAGAGAGGGTTTTTTCTGTCTTTTTTGTTGTTGTTGTTGTGGCAGGTTTTTGACATCGAGAACTATGGCACGTGCGCAACTTGCCCTCTCTTACCCTCCTTGAACTGATTAATTTTCTGATTAACTCGGCACGCTCACTGCTCCGCACGTTGTCGTGACGAGTAACATGTAACCCGACGACGGGTCGATGTGAAGCGGCGTGTTAGAATGCGCCGCTCAGCCAAAACTTTGCTTTTTTTGTTTGGCGACTGCCACGATGCTGGGACATGCGCAAAATAATCGCCTCTCCCCTGGTGCCGGTTACCCCAAACCAGGATGAGATGAAGCACAACTCACAGAGATCATCGTACAGCCTCTGATCTGACCAATACCTTCCAATTCCCCCAGCTCGCGGCGTGCTTGCTGGCACAGAGCATGGCACATCTAAAAAAACCCAAATTTGAAAAAACTGTTGGGTGGGGAGAGAAGCCAATGGAGCCTAGCGATATGGCAGAATAGCTACCTCCTGCTGTTAGGGCTGGACAATCGGGCTTAGAGAACAGGCCAAGAAAAACCGTTAAATTTAGATTTAACAACAGCAAAGTCACAGAATATTAGTACAAGGAGAAAGACAATATATGCGGCCAATCCCGTGCAATAATAGGCCTTTTTGGCTTAGAACAAGAGAAGAAGAAGCCATGATGCTAGCTGGCCATGAACATCTCACTGCGACACTCGCCATGTGAGGTGTAGCCAGCTTGAACACATCTGCCCGCGGTGGCACATGCCTGCGATCCAGCGCTTTGGAGGCAAGGGTTGGTGCATCGCGTAGGTTTGTGAAATTCCCAAACCTGCTGGGCTGTGAGATGCCAATTAATGGAAGTACAGTAATTTAATTATTTGCATCTTTCCGTGTGGAGCTTTGGGTATTATCTCCTTGTATGCAAGGGTCTTCTCCAGGTATTATGGTTTCCTCCCAAGTACCATTAGATGATCGCTCAATCTGGCCAAACTGACCACAATGAACAAATAGTTTTGGGACTCAGTGATAATTTCATTGTTATTTAAGTGTCAAGTCCTGCGTGATAGCTCAAACAAGTGTTCTCCTTAGTGGTTTGTATTCCAAACAATACTGATCATCAGACTTTGGTACTCAATGTAGCTGAGAATCCAGTTGCAGACGTGACCATTGTGTTACCCTCTCTCTATATTACCTGCATAAGAATTAAAACCATGTCCATCAAGGCAAAACAATGTTCATGCTCAAATCTGAAATAAGCTAATTTAATTCAATACATACAGTCATTTGGTGGCCAGGCAGAAACCATCACCTCAATACACTTGAGAGCCCAGGTGGGTGGCTGCCTAGATATTGCCCTTGAGAAATCAGCGTGTCACATGCAAATGTGACGTTTCTAACTAGGACTCCTATCATAAAGAGAGGGTCTTTGCCTGTACAATCGTAGTTCACCAGCATTGAATCAAGCAAGGCTGACTGTTCATGAGACACTGTTGAAAACAGTCCAGAGTTTGCTTGTCTTAAATCAATACTGCTGAAATGATGCACTCCCAGAATTATGTGCGGCTCATGGGTTCCGCAAAAGATACTTTTGTATTTTTACGTGGAGAGACGGAGATGTGATGGAGACATTGTCCGGTTGTTGCTTTTGTTGTGTCGAACATTAGCTCAATGCTCTGACCATTCAGCCACCCAACCACCTTATCATCTTTTCGTTGTTGTTGTTGTTGTGCGCATGGATTGTTTCAGGGGAGAGATCAAGCTGCAACAAGGCCCCGCTGACAAATCGGCGCCGTCCCACAGCGGACGCCGAAGCGTCGCCGCCACCGTCGCCTGGCGACTCACACAGCAGTTCCTCCTCAGACACGGCCGACGGAACGGACCCAGAGGCAGGCCGACACGCGTTCCCTCCAGGGAACTACCACCGAGGCTGCAGGAAGGCGAGCAAGGGGGGCTGTGGGAAGGAAGGCTTACGCAAGGGCATCCGAGGCGAGTGCTTGGATAGATGCCATGAACTTGTGAAATTCGTTTTGAATCAGTCGACCTTTCGGACTAGATGTGCACCGTGTGTGTGTGTGTGTATTTTTTTGTGTAGCTGGGCTGCGGAGGTAATCAACTTGGATTAAGGTCATACAAGGCCTCATTGTATGTACAGGGATACTGTTTCCCATATATATAAAATATTACGCGACTGCCTTATATTAATAAGCGCAATTAAAGAAAAGCCACTGCCCAATAATTCACCTAGTCCAGTATATGATGTATTTTATTTCCTTTCAGGCAGTGTTCATGGCAAATATTGAGTTTTGTTATTTGTACTTCTGATCCACTACCAATGCAGCACTACATATTAACATATTAACCCTTTCCCATTCGATGACGTACGTGTATCTATATGTACTTCATCAGAACGGAATCGGAAGAAAAACTTAAATAAAATAACTTTTCCAGTACGTCTACAGGCCAGGAAGAGCATGGATGTGCTCGTAATAGCCCAGTGCATCTTTCTGAATGCTCTCTCGTATCATCGCAACAGTAAAGTCGGTGGAGGACGTCGTCTGGCGCTACAAGAAGGTGCTGTCGGTGTACCAGAAGACGAGGAGCGTGAAGCGTGCTTGCGAGAAGATGAACGTTGACAGGAACACCATTGCCCTCACGGCCCCCATCGTGGACCTGGAGGTCGTGTCGCCCGGCCTGTACGCCGCCGTGGGGCCGTACGACGGGCGGACGGAACGCCTGCTCGACTTCTCCCGCCGGTGCTGGCACGCCATGGACGAGGAGACGCGCGTGAACGTCGACAAGATGAAGGCCGAGGGGAAGCTGCTGCCCATCAGCTACAAGTTCAAGCGAATGGCTCCACAACTGGCTCCACAGGCTCCACAGTGATCGGGGTCCATCTCCCGGGCCTTCTGGGCCAAACTACTTTTTGGAAATGTACGAGATTTCGTTCATGAAATTTTTAACTAAAAATCTACTCTCATGCCCTCCAGTGTGGTCTAGTTTGCAGGGAAGGACATTTATTTCTTAGGTGGGGTCAACTGTTTTATTTAGTTTTCACCATACACCAGGGAATGTCACAGGTAGTGTGCGGTCAAATGATAATCACGCTGTCCCATCATCTGTACAACGGACTCTAAAATCTATGTGTGTGGAGTTTTCAGAGTTTAACCATTCACATGCGTGGGTTGTCTCCTCCCACAAGCCACACACTCATTAAGTGAATCGACCAAACACCCTCATGTAGCAGAGCCCTCCTGAAAACAAGTCTGGAGACTCAATGAGGCGTTCCTGGATAAATACAATGTATTAGTATTATTACTATTGCTATATAAATATGCAAACATAATATTAACAAAAATGTTCCAGAGTTATAGAACCTAAAACTGTGTTTGCAGCAAACGACCAAGCTCTATATGGAAGCAGAGGAGATACGCTTTCCATTTGCACAAGAGGGCCCTCACGGTAAGGTGGTATTCCACTATTTGCCGAGCCAAAATAATGAAACTTTGGCTTCCTAAAATATATTATTATGGCTTAGAGCCAATAGTAACTGGCCAGAGAATGGGTTTAAAGCGTATTGTCGTACTCATTGCGCGTGGCGTGAGTGGCACGGCTCGGGTTCTGAAGTGGAAAAAATAACCTGGCGCCTCCTGAGGCGAGGTGGGCTTGCTCAGGACACAACTCGGGCGTGGTTCTGTTGTAAGGACAAAAAGAGATACAGGAGTTCGAAGGTCAAAAAAACCTGCCATCTAATTGTGTCTCTATTGTGTCGGGCAGTGCAGCCTCAGTCGAAATAAGAAACCAGGCTTTAAACAAAGTGCTGATGGAAAGAAAGGTCCTGCTAGAACGGTTCTGAATGGACCTGGGATTTGCTGATGCCCTCTACAATTCAGAGGAAGGGTTTCAAGGCACCATTTGTAAAAGATGCTCAACAAATAGAGAACATAAGATGTGGAGACTCTTGGCCTCCAGAGACCATAAAGGTTGCCTTTGATGATGATGATTCATGAAGAGCGAATAATTATGAAGGGTCAAACAGTGCATTAAAGTGTGGCAAACCATGACTAAATATTGAACCAGAGAGCACGTGTGGGGCTAATCAAGCTGTCTCATGGCCAAAGTCCCGTGCAAACATTAGATCTGATGAATGTTTGTGAGTAAAATATAGCACTCGGTGTGAAATTATCCATTATCTTGCTGTGTTCGTCAGTTTTCCGAAGAGGAATGTGATGCCAAGCTAACAAGGAATACGAAAACATCGCACAATTAAAAACACAACTTAACATAAACTAAAATATTGCAAGTTTAACAGCAAACATTAACAAATGTGGCTTACTTGCGTAAAAATAAATAGATGTTTAGAAAATATGACATGTTTATGCGGCCACTTCCTGGTGTCCCAACAGTAGTGATATAAACATTGTTGAGATAAAAAACAACTAGGAGCTGCTATCCACAGACCAATATAAATGTTCCAGCGTTCCCCTGCTCAAAATAACGACTGCCCTGTCACACAAACATAACATATTTATAGCTTTTAATATCGAGACATCAAATATCTTTTATGGGTAAGGGGGGGGGGTAATGACACATTGATGATCGCATTGCGCCGTCAACCCAGAAACCTGAGTTTGATTCCAGCCACGGCTAACATCAGTGGTGAGTGATATCTGAACGAGTCCTGATCACCATCCACTCTCTTCGCCAAGCCACACTCACCAGTGTGGTGAAGTATGAATAAATAATCCGCATACATTACACGGCGTTTGGAGACCTTCATCAAGCAATGGACTAACAAGGGGTTTTCATTATTACTGGAGCCAATCATTTTTTTTGATTGGAAATAGGTTTTCCCTTTTTTTCTGGCAACAAAACAGGTGTTAAGATGTTAAAACACCAATCTGAAACCTTTTACAAGGAATCATGTTACTGCATTAACCACAATATGCAGACATGATTCCTTGTAAAAGGTTTAAATTTGGTGTTTTAACATCTTAACACCTGTTTTGTTGCCAGAAAAAAGGGGAAAAACTATTCTCATATTTTGTTACTGGCAAAGGAGGTCCCATGATGATATATGTTGTATTGCTTGCTAAATGCATTTCTGATTTACTACATCGGCTCTGCAACCGTCCAACAGTGGTGATCCACACGCTGAATGCTAACAATTGTAGCCTTTGTGCCCCATGTACCTCCAAGGAGCAAATTGCCACGTCAAGTGTAATGTCAAGAAGTCATCTTGGCCAATGCTGCTGATGCTGCCACAATCGATAAATTAACGTTCCTTCGTCAAACTATTGCTGGATTAGTAATGTGGGTTGTCTGACTATACTTTGCCATTCTGATCGGTGCACATTGGTGAGTTGGGGGCCCAGGACCCGGTTTAGATATTTGCCGAGGTGGAAAATCGAACACGGGCCACCAGGTTCTCAGTGCAATGTGCCTCAGCTCACCCCCTTACGTCATACATTACAAGGAAGCACCTTTTGAAAATATCTGACCAATGGTGGTAAAGTATAAAATGCACTACTTACTTTGTTGGTCATGTTATATCTGGGCTAATTCATTGACGTTACAGGCTGACTTCAAGGGATGTGCCTAGTCGCCTCGGATGCTAATTCATAATTTTCACATTACCATCCTGTCTGTGAGTTAACAATGACTAAACTGTGTTGTGTTCAAATACTAGTATGGGTATACTATGGTTCTCTGTTGTAACGTAGAAAATAATGTAACCAGACACAGTGTTTGTGGAACAAATTAGTTCATTTAAGCAGTGCAATTAAGTGTCAAGTTTCTAAAGTTTATCTTTCTGAGGTCATCTGACTTTTACTATGAGGTCGTGTAAACTACAAAAAAATTCACCTCTCACGGGCCTCTGAAGGCCATTTTTCCCCCCGTTGAATAAAAACATTTAGAAAGCAACTTTTTGTCCTGTTACATACGTTGTATTTCTTGCTCCCTTGCCAATTATCTGTACTGGCTATTTTAAGTTAATTAGACATTTCGGAGCCAACTTAAATGTAGAGATCGACTTTGTCCACATGACAAACACACAAGCACATGTTTGTGGTCCTTGAAATTGCATTGTTATATCTGTCATTTCAATGACAGTCGCACGAGGGTAGCTTTCACCGGCAACGCCAACAACCAAGTATCGCGTGGTTGAAAGGTGTAAGGTGAAAGGTGCGTTGGCTCTCGCGCTGCACAAAGACAAATGTTTGCCAGTGATGGGTGAGTGGAGGCAAGATGGGCTTCACGTTGAGACCATAGTTCTGGGTTTGCTCATCTTGGCTTTGGTTCCTGGTTTATCCAAAGTGGCAGTGGCACATGTGGCCCGGATAACGCCAACGATCCGAAACAAAGCTTTTGAACAATTTGAGAGGAAATTAACCAAAACTAGATTTACATTTTTTTTTGCATTTTCAAAGAATGTTCAGGAGCTCAATTGGTCCTCGAATGTTTCCTCCTAGTTTCCAGACGAACTCTTCAGCAAAGACTAATGGGATGTGTTTGGTAGAAAAAAAGGCCCTTGATGAGCGCTTCGTGAACCTATCACGCACTCTGAAAGGGCCAATGTTTTTGCACGTGCCGTACCGCGGACTTTTCCCATTGTTATTTCACGCTCGGTGCGGCATAACAAAGCCCGTTAAATCTGCCAAGCAGACCGTGTAAGTAGTTGTGGCATAGCAGCAACACACTCGGGATGTTTAAAAGCAGCTGCGCAAACTCTGTTATCTGATTTGAGTGTTATTTGTGGAAGCGAAGATCAATGTTAATGCACATCCTAGCCGGCTGGCCAGCGCAGACCCTCTGGGTGTCCTCTACAAGGCCACAATGATGCGGTGTTCAAGGTTGATTGAGACTCTGACGGTGGGTGACAAGCCTCGAGCGCTTTTATTAAGATGCGGTGTGTCTGTGCGACGCGGCCCTGGATTCTGTGTGTGCGCAAGCACTTCCACAGTTTTGTAAACACTGTGGGTGAAGCGATGCCCCCCCCCCACCCCAGTGAGTTGATGAATTACCTCTCTGATGCACTCAGTTTATTCACCTGAAGAAGCTCACAGCACGCGGAGCAAAGCGAATTGGAACAAAGCGACAACATCACATAACTGCATGGCACAACGGCTGTAACCCCACGCGGTTGATTTGATGGGCTTGCAAACTGCACCGCCGTAATTTGATCAAATGATTAATTATTTTATTTTTACACATCGCGAGGAATGGCAGCATTTGTATTGGCTGCTGCAGAGGCATTGCGAAACCATTATGTACAACAAACATTTTAAATAAGTAAATAGAGAATTCTTACACGTACAATTGTACGACTGCTTCGTGAGCTTAAGAATTTATATCAATCAACAAATTAATGCATCTGTACCACCCCGAGCAAACAACTTAACTGAAACCTCCAGTTTAGACTCGGAACTTTATTGTCACTGAGAAAAAAAAAATATCTCAATAATGAATTCGGCATAGTGCAATGTATCAAAAGCTTGTCTACCCGACCGTATAAAAGGGGTGCACCTCAGAAAGTCGATCAGCAGGTCACACATGTTGGGATCATTTGTGGGTACTCCTACCTCTACCACGAAGTCTGGATGGTCTGAGGAAAAGGTCAATTACCTCCCCCATCACCATTCGAGCTCCCCCTATTCGGGAACTTCAGCCATCAGTGGCATGAGCAAGACAAGTCAAGGCTGTACCTGTGTGCTTTTAAACTATTTCACAAATTCTGTGACAAAAATGCATTTGAAGCAATGGTCGGAGATTGAGTGCATTTCTGCACGGATGCGTATATGCGCAATACTCCTCTGGGTTCACTCAGAGCTACTTAAACCCCTCTCGGTGTGCTGTCAAACCACGCGGTACGGTGACAGTCCCAGACTTTGCGACGTGCAGCTTAGTGTAACCCCGCATCCAGTCAAACCAACCACCAGCTGCAGCCAGACATAAAGAAGGCAGCTGCTACACAACAATCGTAGGCTTAACCGAAAGCCCACCCATCTTCGGAGCCAGACACTTTCCATGGCCTGAGATTGC